GTTAGCTCGTTTTATGGTAATTTATATCAATCTAATTTTAACAGAGAAGAAAGTGTAAGTTTTTTTGAAAAAATTCAACACAGTATCCCTATTATTCAGCCCATTCTCACTCCCAAGGCGTCACCTAACTGACGCCTTGGGAAGCATTTGGACATGCTTCAATATCTGACGCTTTAGGCGCCCTTTAGCGTCAGTTAGATGACGCCCTAGGATCGCGTGTACCCTACCCCCACCCCACACCTAAACCTAACCGCGTCCTCTAACTGACGCTTTCCTTTAGCGTCAGTTAGATGACGCCGTAGGATCGCGTCATGTAAGTGACGCTAAAGGGCGCCTAAAACGTCAAATATTGAAGCATGGTCAAAGGTGACGCCTTGGGGTGAGAATGCGTTGTATTATTAGTGAAGATTATAAAGCTTCCTGTGATGCTGATCTTTCTTTAAATGAAGTTAAAAATTCTTTGTTTGCTATGAAGAAAGGTAAATCTCCCGGGATAGATGGGCTAGGAGCAGAGTTCTATATCCATTTCTGGGAGCTTATTCAACTTCCTTTAATGCACATGTATAGGGAGTGTATTGATCAAGGGGAAATGACCACAACAATGAAGCAAGGCATTATTTCTTTAATCCCGAAACCTGGTAAAGACCCTCACTTAATCGATAACTGGCGTCCAATCACATTATTAACTATAGATTATAAAATTCTGGCCTCTGTATATGCAAATAGATTAAAATCTGATTTAAATTCAATAATTGCAGAAACTCAAACGGGCTTCATGAAAAACCGCCACATTAGCAATAATATAAGACTCGTTTTAGACTTGCTTGACTATGCTGACAATATTGATTCTGACGCCTTCGCTTTGTTTCTTGATTTTTACAAAGCGTTCGATACAATCGAACACCCTTTTTTAATACAAGCCATCAAAGCATTTGGTTTTGGAAACCGTTTCGTCGACATTGTCAGTATGTTTTATAAAGATATAAACAGTTCTGTTATCATTAATCAAAATACTTCTCCACGATTTCAGATTAATAGGGGGGTTAGACAGGGGTGCAACATTTCTCCCTTTTTATTTATCTTAGTAACTGAACTACTAGCTATACACTTAGTAAAGGAAGTACATTTTGAAGGAATAAAGATTTTTGGAAGGGAAATAAAGATCTCACAGCTGGCGGACGACACCACCATTTTTTTAAGCAATAAGGACCAGTTGAGCATTGTCTTTGAACTGGTGGAGAAATTCTCTTCTGCGTCTGGTTTAAGGCTTAATCGTTCCAAGTGTGAGCTGTTGCCTCTTCATTGTTGTGGTGACTCCGCTATTGATAACATTCCAGTTAAACAGACTGTAAAATATTTAGGTATACATGTATGTAAAAATATTATAGTTAGACAGGACTTAAATTTTTCGAATAGAATACAGAAAACCAAATCAATATTCAATTGCTGGTTACAAAGAGACTTATCTGTTTTAGGTAGAGTATTACTCTCCAAAGCAGAAGGCCTTTCTCGCTTTGTTTATCCGTCCTTGTCTCTTTTTGTAAAGGACTCCATTGCCAATCAAATCAACAAGACTTTCTTAGATTTCATTTGGAAGAACAAGTCTCATAGGCTTAAAAAAAATGTTCTCTCTAACCCTAAAGAAAAGGGAGGTCTAGAGATTTTGGATTTTATAAATGTAGTCAATACATTCAACGTTAACTGGTTAAAAAGGTGCATTCAAAATCCTGATTCGATTTTTTTCTTTATTCCAAATTTTATTTTTAATAAACTGGGTGGGCTTTCGTTTCTTTTGAGGTGTAATTTTCTGCCAAATAAATTACCTATCAAATTGTCCAACTTCCACCAACAGTCCCTCTTGGCCTGGAAATTATCTTTCAGTCACAACTTCTCACCACACAAATCTCTTCTTTGGAGCAACAGCGACATTCTTATTAGGAATAAATCAGTATTCTTCCCTAAGTGGTTCGATAGAGGTATTAACCATATACTCTGCTTATTTGATGATTCTGGCTCCATGCTCTCTTATGAACAGTTTATGGTAGCTCACGATTTCCCAGTACCCTTTAAAGAATTTAAATCCATCACTGATGCCATCCCTAGTGGAATCAGACAATTAATGAAATATCATCTGAGCTATGGAAACAAAGATATCAGAGAGTTTTCTCTTATGTTGGATGGGGTAGAACTGTCTGATAAAAAGTGTAATAATAAACACATTCGCCGACATCTGCAAAAGTGTAACTCCATTGTTCCAAGGGGGATGTTTTATTGGAATTCCTTAATAAGTAATGTTAATTGGAAAAAAACATGGTTGATTCCTCACAAATATTGTATCTCTAATAAGGCTAAAGAGGTCCACTTTAAACTTTTACACAATATTTACCCTACAAATTGTTTTGTTGCCAAATTTCTAGACATTGACACATGTTGTACCTTTTGTAAACAGAGCACTGAAACCATTCCTCATTTATTTTTTAATTGTCCAGTTACCAAAAAATTTTGGGATGATTTAGGTATTCATTTTCTCCATTCTCGAAATATAACTCACTTTTTCACCCTGAAAGATATTATCTGTTACTCTTGTTTTCCACAAGATGGCACCCTGGAGTTTGTCATAAACTTTATAATTTTATATGCTAAGTTTTTTATACACAAACAGAAATTTAATAAGTCTTCCCTATATTTTAAGCACTTTATTTTGGAACTTAATTTGCTTCTTAAATCACACGAACTTGTGAAGAACAAGAAGAACAGAAAACTTGTTTCTCAATATTTTGACCTATTCCCCAATTCCTCTTAACATCCTTACTATTTTTCCTCTTTCATTTACTATGTATGTATGTATGTATGTTTCTTTTTGTTGTTGTTATCATTTTTTTTTTTTTATTTGTTTTGTTTTTGTTTTTTTCTTGCTTCTGTTTTTGGTATGGTTCTGTCTGTACAAACGCTTGATTGTATATTGATGTTCTTCTTGTTTGTACTAGTTATTGTTATCAAAAAAAAAAAAAAAAAAAAAAAAAAAAAAAAAAAAAATAGCCCATTGAAAATGCCTTATATGTTCGCCGGGCGCGCATTAACTTGAGGTTATTAGCAGTAGGTTGATTAAACTAACTCGACACAGGTGTTTTGGAACCGACATACCCAGAGTAAGCAGGTTTTGGGTTAATCAACCCAAAGTTTAGGGTTCTGATGGTTAATTAACCCAGCTTTCTGTAATACACCCCAGAGAGAGACGTTTAAACCTTTTAAATAAATTTGATTTAACGTTCAACATAATGTGTCGTCGCTGTATTTCTGTTATTTTGTATATATTTTTTTATTGAGACTTGGTGGCTGATGTGAGGAACTCTTTCTTGCATTTTGGCACGTGGCATATGTGCACGTGAAATGTATGAAAATTGTGCATGTGCAACCCCCAGTATTACAAAAGCACTTGAATATGGGTATTAAAGTTTATTTGTCAAGTTTAAAGTATCAGTTTTTTTTTTTTTAAATAAACATCGGTTTATTTCCATTATTACGATCAATAATTGTAAAATGAAAGCCATTTGTTTTCTGGTAAAATAAGAATGACACCTTGAAGAAAGCATGAATGAATGTATCATAATTTCACAGTTAAGACATTTTTGAAAATTACCTTTTGTAAGGTTTAATCATTATTTTGAGTTCACAGCACTTGAAATCTTAAGTTTTCGTATTTTGAAGGTAAATAAGTTATTTGAACTTATATTTTTGAGTGACAGGGCCAAAATGCAAAATTTTAAGTAATGTTTAGTCAAGTACGCTTGATTGTTTAAGTAAAGACAACATTAGGGTTTACAGATATTTCTACTGATCAGCAACAAAAATCACCAAATCAAGCAGAACACAGAGAAATCTGACATATCTTTGACCGAACAATGTTCATAAGGTGGGGTTTTGGAACAATTATGGTACATACATTATATTTATATCCACCCTCTGCATCACTCCATCATCTGCATCACTCTATCACTCCACCTTCTGCATTACTCCATCCTCTGCATCACTCCATCCTCCAATCCATCAGTTCTCTCCTGAAGTCGAGCTGATGTTGATACTTGTCCTCTGTTCTCCGACAGACTCTACCCCTCCTCTCCAGTGTTTGTATGTCAATTCTCAGAAAATAAATAGTGTATTCTTCGGAAACTGGAGATTTAGAGACTCCATGTCTAACACACACACAAAATGGAGCAACTTAATTCACGGATATGACGAGACACACACGGGTCAGTGACACGTGCGCAACTTACAGCGAAAACCATCCCGTTAGATGTCACAATGCTGGCATTGTTAACATTAACAATTGACGTGATATGATATGCAATCTTTAGATTTAATCAACAAGATTTACTGTAATGCTTTTTTTGTGCAATTCAATTCATTTCAAAGTGGATGTTGCTTGTTCAGAGGACATTTTCTGGTGAAAGTTCTTATGTTGCTCATACTTCCAAAAAGTAGAATCTCAAACTGTGATTGCGAATGTCAGTATACAAACCGGTGGATCAAAACATTGTGTTCATCTGCGCTGAGGCACAACCCATGTAAAGCTGATCATTACACCAATAACTGATCATTACACCAATAACTGCAATGGCAGATTTCAAAGAGAGATGGCGAAAAGGAGGAAAAACTACTGCAGCTTTAAATAAAACATTTACGTAAGTGTATCTTTAAAACTAAACAAAAATTAGACATGTTGCCTTGGCAATAAATTGAAATAAGTTGAATTTGAATCAGTAATATTTTTTTTTTTGCAAATAAATAAGAACAAAGTAAAACTGAAATAAATTATTGCTATTTGTTTATTTATTTATTTTAAAAAAAGAAAGACAAAAGCACATTACGAAATGACTAAAAATGAAACTAAAATTAGCATGAAATCTAATATAGGAATAAAAGCTAATGACACATGAAACTACAGAGTCAGATAATTTCTGATTATATATGAAATCTGCTCATACTCACAACACCATAACTTAGTATTTATCAAATTTATTTTCTCCTCTACAAATGAAGACAGTAGTTTAAAACTCTCATACAGACAGGAGAGAAAATGTACAGCGTTTTCCTTGTGAAAGCTCATTTAAATAAAAAAGTAAAAAAGCAGATTTAAATTTACACAAATCATCCTTCCTTCACAGATAACCGAAGCATGCTAGAGCAGTGCATGATGGGAAAGTTTCTGACATATAAATCATCATCTTAAGATGAATTGAGATACACATGAAAAGAAGCCATGAAGATCAGACGAAGATCAAACAAGAAAAAATACCTTCGATCAGAAGATAAACAAATTCACAGAAAGAAAATGTACATCGCACCTCACGCTCTGTTCCCTTTACTTAGTGAACAAACAGTGAACAGAGAGAGTTTAACACAGAGAGAGAGAGTTTAACAGAGAGAAAGAGAGAGAGAGAGAGAGAGAGAGAGAGAGAGAGAGAGAGAGAGAGAGAGAGAGAGAGAGAGAGATTAACCATTGGACTGCTGGTGGATCGAAAAACGAACTCTCCCTGCACCTGTCAATCAAACTCATTCACGAATAAATCATTTTGATTGGTAAAGAGATCCATGTTGGATTTTCAAGTCTTTCCAACAATAACTTCTGTGAAATGAATCATGATCTCAGCAGCAGCACAGGCTGAAATATTACAGGTATTACTGGATCATGGTAGTGGTTAGGAGCAAAAGCAGAAGCACGTCTGCAAATGAAAACAAGGCAGAAGATTCTGTATTATCCTAAAATCTGATATTATTGACATCAACTACTACAAGCTTTGTCATCAGGTTTAGAGTCAGAAACAACGAGAATGGACAAAATATTCAGCAACGGTCCTGAAAAAGTCACCATGAGAGAACATACATATTGACACAAGTGACTGTGACGGATTATTTCTCATACTCAAATATTTATATCACACACCTCTAGAAGAAGCACATTATTTTTTAAATAATCTTAATAAAAATCTGTAAAAAAACAAACAAAAAAAAAAAACACGTATAAAAAGACAGCAGGTGATGCACTGCATACAGGAACTCAAACAAGAAGGAGAAGAGAAGCGGGAACGTCGAGTCTGACGCGGGAACGTTGAGTCTGGCGGGGCAACGTTGCGTCTGATGTGGGAACGTCGAGTCTGACGCGGGAACGTCGAGTCTGATGCGGGAATGACGAGTCTGACGTGGGGAACGTCGAGTCTGACGTGGGGAACGTCGAGTCTGGCGGGGGAACGGCGAGTCTCATGCGGGGAACATCGAGTCTGATGCGGGAATGTTGAGTCTGACGCGGGAACGTCGAGTCTGGAGCGGGAATGACGAGTCTGATGTGGGAACTCGAGTCTGATGCGGGAATGATGAGTCTGACGCGGGGAACGTCAAGTCTGGCGCGGGAATGATGAGTCTGATGTGGGAACATCGAGTCTGAGGCGGAAATGACGAGTCTGACTCGGGAACGACGAGTCTGACGCGGGAACGTCTAGTCTAACGCGGGAACGTCGAGTCTGACGCGGGAACGTCGAGTCTGACGCAGGAAACATCGAGTCTGATGCAGGAATGACGAGTCTGATGTGGGAACTTCGAGTCTGATGCGGGAATGACGAGTCTGATGCAGGAACGCCGAGTGTGATGCGGCAACGTCGAGTCTGAAAGCGGAGAACGTTGAGTCTGATGCGGGGAACGTCGAGTCTGATGCGGGAACGTCGAGTCTGACGCGGGGAACGTTGAGTCTGATGCGGGAATGACAAGTCTGATGTGGGAACGTCGAGTCTCACACGGATCCGCTGATCAAGTATCCCGATCCCCTCCGCCTGCCGTGCGGTTGCTGGGTGCGGCTGCGGAGAGACGTGTGGTTGCCGTGGTGATGGTGGTGAGGGGGTGGGGCCGGGGGCGGGTCTCTGAGAGAGGGCGGTACTACAGAGGACTTGATTGGGATGATCCTGGTGTCCATCACCTCACAGTCCACCTGCATCATCATCTCATAGCCGCCTTTTGACGAGTTATACACCGAATCTGCAGACGACAACACCATACATACGAGAGAGAGAGAGAGAGAGAAGAAATTAAACATGGTATATTTTGTCTTATTACACGGCTCTATGGAATACTTGATTCTGATTGGTCAATCGCTCCATCCAGCGGTATATTATACCCAGATTCCTTGAATTCATGGTTAAAAACGACATGTGAAAATTTTTATGTAACTTTTATAGATAACTTTGATTTGTTCTGGGGCCGTCCAGCGCTTTTTAGGTGGGATGGCCTGCACCCAAATCATAGGGGCGCTCAGATGCTTGCACATCATTTCGAACAACATATTTTAATGTGACTACCTAGCCAATATGTTACTGTTAATCCTATAAAACCTATTATATCAGTTCGTCACACTACTGCTAAGACAAACACAGTGGGAATAAACATGAACAATTTACTGAAAATTCCGACTTCCAGCATATTATCACTTATGGAAACAAAACAAACAGAAATTAACATGGCTCTTTTTAATGTAAGGGCATTAACAAACAAATCAATTTGTATTCATGACCTCATTATTGATTATAACCGTGACTGTCTGTTTCTTACTGAGACATGGCTTAGGACAGATGCACCGGCCACATTGATTGAGACCTGTCCTCCTGATTTTACTTATTCTTTTTCTACTAGAAATGGGAAAAGAGGCGGAGGAACTGCAGCAATCTACAGAGAAACCCTAAAGGGAAGGGACATAGACCTTGGTACATTTACTACCTTTGAATATCATGCTATTCTTTTAAACTTCCAGCCACGTCTTCTTGCAGTGACACTATACAGATCCCCCAAATTACCTATATCTCCCTTCATAAAGGATTTCTCTGACATGCTATCTGTTATTCATATGAATTATGACAACTGTGTTTTAACTGGGTATTTTAATATACACTCACCGGCCACTTTATTAGGTACCCCATGCTAGTAACGGGTTGGACCCCCTTTTGCCTTCAGAACTGCCTCAATTCTTCGTGGCATAGATTCAACAAGGTGCTGGAAGCATTCCTCAGGGAGTTTGGTCCATATTGACATGATGGCATCACACAGTTGCCGCAGATTTGTCGGCTGCACATCCATGATGCGAATCTCCCGTTCCACCACATCCCAAAGATGCTCTATTGGATTGAGATCTGGTGATTGTGGAGGCCATTTGAGTACAGCGAACTCATTGTCATGTTCAAGAAACCAGTCTGAGATGATTCCAGCTTTATGACATGGCGCATTATCCTGCTGAAAGTAGCCATCAGAAGTTGGGTACATTGTGGTCATAAAGGGATGGACATGGTCAGCAACAATACTCAGGTAGGCTGTGGCGTTGCAACGATGCTCAATTGGTACCAAGGGGCCCAAAGAGTGCCAAGAAAATATTCCCCACACCATGACACCACCACCACCAGCCTGAACCGTTGATACAAGGCAGGATGGATCCATGCTTTCATGTTGTAGACGCCAAATTCTGACCCTACCATCCGAATGTCGCAGCAGAAATCAAGACTCATCAGACCAGGCAACGTTTTTCCAATCTTCTATTGTCCAATTTCGATGAGCTTGTGCAAATTGTAGCCTCAGTTTCCTGTTCTTAGCTGAAAGGAGTGGCACCCGGTGTGGTCTTCTGCTGCTGTAGCCCATCTGCCTCAAAGTTCGACGTACTGTGCGTTCAGAGATGCTCTTCTGCCCACCTTGGTTGTAACGGGTGGTTATTTGAGTCACTGTTGCCCTTCTATCAGCTCGAACCAGTCTGGCCATTCTCCTCTGACCTCTGGCATCAACAAGGCATTTCCGCCCACAGAACTGCCGCTCACTGGATGTTTTTTTCTTTTTCGGACCATTCTCTGTAAACCCTAGAGATGGTTGTGCGTGAAAATCCCAGTAGATTAGCAGTTTCTGAAATACTCAGACCAGCCCTTCTGGCACCAACAATCATGCCACGTTCAAAGTCACTCAAATCACCTTTCTTCCCCATACTGATGCTCGGTTTGAACTGCAGGAGATTGTCTTGACCATGTCTACATGCCTAAATGCACTGAGTTGCCGCCATGTGATTGGCTGCTTAGAAATTAAGTGTTAACGAGCAGTTGGACAGGTGTACCTAATAAAGTGGCCGGTGAGTGTACATGTTGATAATTTTACAGATATCAGAGCAAATGAATTCTTGGAACTGCTAGAATGTATGTCGTTTAAAGAGCATGTAAACATACCGACCCATAAACATGGTCACATATTGGATTTAGTAATAGCATTTGGATTAAATATCAATATAACTTCTGTTGTCGATCTTGCATTATCCGATCATTTTTTTTGTGTTTTCTTTAATAGTACTGATCCTTCTATGCCTTATACAACTGAACGTATTGTTAAAAAACGTTTTATTTCCACGGAAGTAGCAGAAAATTTTACAATGCATTATATGACTTACGAAAAGGATATTTTACCATCATCTTGTGATGTCCTAGTTGATGAGCTTAATAATGAATTAAAAACAGCACTTGATGTAGTTGCTCAACTTAAAACAAACAAAAAAACGAATAAAAAGGTCATTCCTTGGAAGACAGATTTGACCATGAAAATTAAAAGAAAATGTAGAAGTGCTGAACGAACATGGCGAAAAACTAAATTAGAAATACATTTTAATATACTCACTGAAAATCTTAAAAACTACAACAAAGAAGTTAAAAAAATTACGGCAAGCTTACTTCTCAAACCTTATTCACAAGTTTCCTACGCCCCATGAGGCCTTGCGTCAAAAGTGGGCGCGACTTCCGGTTGGAAGTAAACAAAGCGCGATTTGACATGCTTGACACTCGTTCATTCAACAGTTGACAGTCATTCAAGTTATAGCGATCCAAACTAGCTAACGATGTGGCAACACAACCTCAACGAAATTCAAAAGGGTGAAATAACAGTACCTTTACCCTCCGCAGTTACTTGGTTGGGAGTATTATAATAACATTATTAATAATCAATACTCATCAAGGCATGGTGACAGACATTTGTGCGAGCTGACAAACAATTAAAATAAAAAATACATACTTAGTCATTGTGCTTTGGAGTTTATTCAAAATTATAAATGAATGTGCTACTTGAATACATTAACTGGCACATTTGGTATTCTGTCAACACAGGCTTTGATCCTGAGTTTAGGTGTAACATCAGTAGCGAACAGCCAATCACATGCTGATAGAGTTTATAGAATATTAAGAATTTAAACAAATGTACACAGGAAGATTCGTCGTCTTTTGGGAGGTGATGGAAACTACAGTCGTTGGTAGGATCACTGTGATTTCGTTTTCAGCTTATGTTCAAAACAATCCCGTTTAAGCCACTAAATTAGTTTAGTCCGGTTATACATACAACCGCGAACAGCACATGTTGTCCCTGAGCTCCGTAACGACATCTCTCAAAAAGATTGGCGTCTTTAAATAATAAAATAATTCTCCGAAAAACAGCTAGCCTCTTCGCTAACTAACACACAAAATACCATTGGAATGCTACTTCCGCCGCCTCACCGGAAGTTTCACCCACTTTATTTTTTACAGGAGCGCCCCTCGGAAACTTGTGGATAAATGAAAATATTAATAACCCATGATTCTTAATTAGTACCATAGATTCACTAATAAATCACAAAATTGATTGCGGTTCTGTGTTAACAAGCTCCAAATGTGAAGAGCTTGCTGGCTACTTCAGAGATAAAGTTATAAATATTAGATCAGGAATCAGCTTGGCAAATAAAAATAAAAACAAGATGCCTCCTCCTCTACCTAGCGAATTCAATACTTTCCAAATGGAAAGGTTTACTTTGTTTGATGTTGAGACCCTAAGAAAGGTAGTAAAGGAACTAAAACCATCCACCTGTTCACTTGATCCAATTCCTATTAAATCTATCTTTAATGTAGTATCTAATGATCTCCTTGAGATAGTAAATCACTCTCTACAGCTTGGCATTTTCCCGTGTGATCTTAAATTGGCCCTAGTGAAACCTTTACAAAAAAACAAAAAAGGGAATTCAGATACTTTAAGACCTAGTAACTATAGACCCATCTTAAATCTTCCATTTTTGAGTAAAATATTAGAGAAAATTGTTTAAGTATTTTCTTAAATACACATTCAAAATTAGAGATGTTTCAGTCGGGGCACAGAGACCGCTCTTGTAAAAGTAGAAAATGACATAAGAATAAACTTAGATAGAAATTGGCCTTCAGTTCTGGTGCTGCTGGACTTGAGTGCTGCATTTGATACAGTGGATCACCAGATTCTACTGAATAGACTACGCGAGTTTGTTGGCCTGTCTGAAACCGTTTTAAATTGTATCATATCTTAGTGGTGGAACATCTGTTGTCTCTATCAATAATAGCATGTCTGAACATTATGGGGTACTTTGTGGAGTTCCTCAGGGATCAATTTTAGGACCACTACTTTTTAATCTATATATGTTACCTCTGGGACATATCATTATGAGACATAATATCTCTTTTCATAGTTATGCTGATGATACATATGATATATGTGTAGCCGTATCTCCAGATGACACTGCAGAGCAAATTAATTCACTTGCAAATTGCATTCAAGACATAAATGATTGGATGTCGCAAAATTTCTTAAAACTAAATAAAGATAAAACAGAAGTTTTGATAATTGGATCAAAAGAACAGATAGAAAAATTAATACCTAAACTAAATATCCTGGGATTAAACCCAAGTAAAGTGGCAAAAAAGTTAGGCGTTGTCTTTGATTTTGATTTTAATTTTAAAACGCATGTATGCAATGTTACTAATATAGCATTTTATCATTTAAAGAACATTGCTAGAATTAGACCATTTCTCTCTCTGTGCAATACCGAAAAATTAATGCATACATTTATGACTAGCAGGCTTGACTATTGTAATGCTGTCCTCTCTGGTCTACCAAAAACTACAATTAATCTACTACAATTAATACAAAACTCGGCTGCTCGTGTATTGACTAAGACCAAGAAGAGAGAACACATT